ATCGCGGACAATTGTTCACTTGAAATTGTAAAATATTTTAAGAGATTAATCAACTCTTCAACAAGTGATTGTTTAATAGATTCAATAAAACTGTCCTCGTTCCTTTTATCAGATATATGTACGCACTGTTTGAAAGTTTTTCCAACCGAATCGAACATTTGACATACAGAGATCCAACGTGTGTCGATATCGTGTTTTAACGAAGTTTCTAATATATGGTTTAACTCGGAGCGTTTAAAATGAGTACATAGTTCTCAACAACTTTTTATCAATGATTCAACCGCAGTAAAGACTTGCATTGCTTGTTAATGTTGTTGCTAACATTCATTGCAAATTTAAACAGTGGCAAATACATTTCAAATGACCCTCACCATCTAGATAAAAAAAAGATCTGGGTTATAAATGAATCCACAATTATTCTGATACGTACTCAGAGTGCATACCAGATTAGAACCATTATCTGTCACATATACGATACGATATCCATCAGGATTTGATCTCATACGAGCGTAGTGCAGAAAAGTGACTGTTCTTATATGATCACCGCTTTTTTTTGGCTAAATAGCGTAGTTTTGAGCATACATATGGCAGCTTTTTCTTCTTTCGTGTAATGTATGCCAGGTAACTGTCGAACGTATGAGAGTTTTCCCAAAGTCAGTCGAAATATCGATAAGCTTCGCAGCACGCAAATCCTGCTTCAACATTTCTCTCAATTACTGAAAAAGAATTTAAAATTCCTGCAGAATTTGCGTAGGAAACTCGTGGGTTGTGTGTGTCAAAAAATCCGGAGATGTTTCTTACGTTTACGCATGATTCTTTTCCTTGCCGTCCTCGAGGGAATCCTACATTTTTCGTGGAGGAGTAGCGTGGAAAAAAGTTCTGCGTAAAGGCAAGAAACATCGCAAGACTTTTTAACTTATTCAATTCACAAGTATCTTTCCTACGAGATCTGTCAGGATTGTGTCCTCCATGTCTAGCCTGCGGCATCCCGTAATCTTTTCTCACCAACATCTGTCCACAGAGATTGTGGAGGAACTTGTCTGAATTTATTATTTTTGAAAAGTTAAAAACTTTTGCATCGTTTTCTTGTAAAGTCATAAAAGCTTTTGCGTGTCCAATAAACTTCTAGAAAATGTATACCTTAATATTTTGACTATAACAGGCATTTTCATGTGTACAAAACCAAACTATTAATAGATAGCTGAAATGATCTTTTCTATGTCAGAAATATTTTATCTTCCTCCTTCAATATGAAATTAAAGTCATTAGAATGATTCCACGATGTATAGTAGAGCAGAGATATCAAAATATTCTAATGTCTTCTGTTATGAACACTCTATTGACTGGTATATAATTTAAAAACTTCGGTAAAAATATTTAGAAGCTATATTTAAAATATTAAGATATAATTGGATGTGCGAAAAGCTTTTATAATTTGCAGGATGCTACAGGCTAGACATGGGGGACAAAATCATTTATCTTTCAACCAACAAAATCTTGGCAAATCTCGTAAGAGAAATACTTGCAGACTGCCCTGTAACGTTTTTCCTGGAAGATACCGTTTCTTTTCTCCAGGATAAAATCCTATAAGCCTTCGAGGATCACCGTAGTGAGATAACCTTTGTGATACAAGCGATAACAGATAGGAAAAAATTTCACAGGGTCAGTACCATGAATAATCTTGCAAGATATGCCTGACGGACGCACGAAAAACTTTCTGTTTTTTTATCTCAGACAATAAATTTTCGTCTATATTTTACTTCCACGCAGATCCTGTAACAACTTCTCCTGCCAGTCACTACTTCTTATCTTCACGATAAAATCCTGCAGACCTTGCAGGATTTGTATAGTGAGATATCTTGTGTATTACAAGTGATAACAGGGAGGAAAAAATTCCGCAGGGTTTGCAAAGTGAAGAATATGAGAGATATATCCGAGGAACGCACGTAAAAGCTCCTGCATAGTGTGCCTAAAAAAGAATCCTTCAGGATCCTGCAGAAAAGAAACTTAAAAAGTGAGCTAATTAAAAATTCCTGCTCAATTATGCTCATCAACTTGCAGGAAATTTTCGGAAAGGTAACGTGATGTAAAACCGTGCAGTATTTATCCAACATTCACAGGAGTTTTTCAGATTCCTGCGCGTCAATGCATAAATTTATAAATTTTTTTTAGTGGGCAGTGTTAAGCGATGATCCATTGTCACTTGTTTGACTGTTCGTGAAACGGTAGTACGATCGGGTATGACAGAAGGCACACTGGACTTTCTTGCCCCAAACGGTAACCTACATCGAACAGCTGTTGCCACAGAACTTGAAAACCATCGCCTTCAACAGAGTCAAACGGCACTCATATCAAGCGCACAGATTATCGCGCAAGCAATCGTTGTCAAACGTTTTTCATCGGGTGGAACGTTTACAGCAGCTGACTCTAGAATGGTACAAAAGTTGTATTAGTTATCCTCCGTCTTCTTACATATGGAAAAATATCCGCTAGACTGCGTATGTTATACATAGATACTCACTTGCCATAAATGAAGCAATGCCTTTGGTTACTTTTGTCTAATTAATTTCAGCCATACAACCAGCTACATGTGCACTTAGACTTCCGGTGCCGTTTTCACCTTAGACGCCAATAACTGATTACATTGAGTACACTGAACAAAGGGTTCATAATCATCCTTGTTCTTTATTCTTAATAGACTATTCCAAAACTCGCCGGTTGCTGGACAGGGCGTATGTGTTTCGACTGACAGGCTTCCTTCTTTCAGCAGACGGGATATTTCCGTGTTTTTCTTTCTGCTTCTCTTCTTGGTGTGTCTCCCATATCAGAAAAATAATCTATTATTATCAATGATCCATTATGCATAGAAAATTATTTGAATTCTCATATATGATAGTATAGAAAATGATTACTTTGCAAACGATTTCTTTACGAGAAACTGCATACATAGTTGAATGAAGATTTAGAGAAGATTTATAAATAATCGTTTTTTTGGTAGTTTGAGTTGCGTATAGAGTTTATGCGAGCCTATGACTTTTAGTAAGATCGTCACAGGATATTCACTAAGTAGTCGCTTAGTCAGTATCCTGTCGTTATAATGGGAGTCTTTTATCAAAGTGTATTCATGAACACCTAAGACTGTTTTCAACAATCCAGCTCGAGCAGAATAAACGTATTCATGATTAACAATAAATGCAGTAAAATTCTTTGTTTAGTGTACCAATATAAACGCACCTTCGAAACGCCTGTCTCAGATTAAATCTATATATGCTAGATTTATCCTGTATCACGGATCGCTCGTGTATTCGTGCACTTCAGCGAAAAATCTTACAATAGTTTCCACTCTTAGTATAAATTTACACTTTTAGTCAACAGTTGTATGTTTTTAATTATTATCGTTTTCAAAAAGCAATGTCCCTGACTAAATTTTGAATAACTTCCCCGTAGAAAGAGATATCGATCTTCGGTTTTCGCAGATCGATAGCCAACAGTTTTTTTGCATATAGCCATGCAAAAAGGGTGACTTTCAGCTGGGCATTGGCTTAAGATTTTTCAGGAACCTTCTGAAAAACCTCAAAGCGTCAGTGTTCTGCTGGACCACTTTTTAGACGTGATCAACAATATATGGCATCTGTTGAGTGTTTCCTGAAAATTTCCTTGAGTTAGCATAAGATTTGATAGAGATATAAAGATTTTAATTTTTGCTAGTAACAGGCGAAAGACCGGTTTTTCACAAAAATGCCTTTGACGAAGTTATTTTGATTTCTACACCAAAGCAAATGTTGCCACTATGCTCAGCGTAGTCGATTACCTGTATTCCATGGCATTTCAAGATTCCCAGAGATGTCTGCTCGGAGATAGACATGTGCTCGGGGAAAGCGAGTCCTGTCCAAACGACGACAGCTGGAGAGCCGGAACTGGCATAATTTTGTAGAGTAACGTCCGGACTATCTACGCATGCAAAAAAATTACTAACATTGTATGTTAGCTTTCTGAGAACGGAACTGGTTTTCCAAAGATCCTCTTGGAAAACCGACTTTGAATTTCTTTTTTGAGAGTATTTTTTGCATGGCTATATGCAAAAAAGTGTTGGCTATCGATCTGCGAAAACCGAAAACCGAAGATCGATATCTCTTTCTATAGAGGAGTTATTCAAAATTTAGTCAGGGACATTGCTTTTTGAAAACGATAATAGTGCAAGTATGTTTTAGGTTGGAGAGAGATTTGACAATCAGTCCACCATCAGATACTTTTTCATGAATTCATATTGTAGCGGGTTTGATTCTTGTATATCTGACAGATAAATTTTCATTTTGTAAGAACTCTGGATATCATCTTCGATCCCAAACTCTTAACAATTTGTACCTAAAATGGGAGTTTCATAATGGCAATTGAAAAAAGAAATACAGATATGAAACGAAAAGATTTGGGCAGTCATTTTTTTTCCGTGGTTATTAAAAAGTGAAGAGATTTTGACGATGAGATATGGCCTTGTAGGATCTTAACATCTTTTCGGGCTAAATTAAGTGCACGAGCAGAGAGATTGAAGGTTTTCCAAGTTTTTCCTATGTTGAGCGCAGATATGACAAAATTTACAATAGATACGGTGTGTATTTTCTCCGCTAAATAACGATCTATGTATAAAACGTCTAGTTTATACTGGACATAAACTAAAGGAGGTAAAGGAGAGAAAAATGAAACACGACCAGTATTCTATTATTTATCGTGCTGTAGTTAAGTTTATGGAGGATAGCTCATGTTTTAGTATATAAAGATATATTGCTGAAAAACTGTGGTTCTCAGTCATCTGTTCTGAGACAAATGGCTGTTATTTCTGTGTATTCCTCTTGTATATTTCTTCTCAGTCATTTACAGGTTGTACTAGTTGGAGTTAGTTGCTGTTGGTAAAGAGAAAACATTTAATCGCATTTTTAGTATCATGATTGGATCGTATACATCTAGCACATGAAATTAACCATCGTTAGTCCCGTGCGAAAAAAATGATATCTCAGAGCGTCGTTATGATTAAGGCTTTGTCTGGTAAAAAGCCGCTGATCATTATCGCCATAATATTATTATGCAGTGCATTTTATTATGAAATTCTTCATCTAAGTATTGAGGATATGCTATTGGTTGCCCGCGTAAGGAACATTAATAAACCATTTGAAATAGATAAATTTGTATCAATACCGCTAGGCAATAAAAGCAAAAACGTTTATTCTAAATTTCGATGCACAGGCGACTTAAATAATATTGATGCATGGCAAGATCGTTTATGTATATTTAACAATATTTGCTACAATAGAAATAAACGACAGTTCCAATATTATCGTCGTGATAAAACCAAGCCTCTGTTCTTTGATGGTGTTAAGGGAATGTTATACGATTTTAGTATTTATAATAATTTCGGACGAGGTTTTGTTTCAGTTGGCATAGCTTATGATCCGGCATTTTCATGGGCACCCTTCGCTATAGAGCAGCCATATCCACAAGAAGATTTTATCCAATTAGCAAATTTACACAGGTACAATATCTATAGATGGAATTTAAAATGCACTGACGTACGGCGAGTAGAAAGGTAAAATCGCTTCCCGAAAAACGTTTAGGTCGTCGAACTTTGACCGTTTTTCGAGATTGTAAAGAGGTAATTCGCGAAATGGTCACAAATTAAGTGTATGCCGGAAAAGGCCATAGTATGCAAAAACGATGCATGTTTAGCATTACCAAGGCTGAGAATATATACTCTATTAACTTTTCGAGCCGTTATTCCGTCTGATGAATAAAAACTGAACAAAATGTAACATTCTTCCCAGTTTGAACGATGAAACCTTTTTATAATAAAGCTAAACAGAAAACTCAGCTAAAGTATCCGCAACGAAAATTTGAGCAACATCCCAAACGTACTTACCACTTGGGTAGAAAGTATCCTCGTACAAAATTAGCTAAAGATTATTCGCAGGAGACATTGCAATAAATTGACCCTCAACCACTGGAAAAAGCGAGCGCGATAATGTGTGAATTTAGTTTTTCAAGACACACAGAAAAATTAGAGTCTAAAAATCATGTGGAAGCACATATCAGTGCATAAATCTCAGAAATATCCCGCCCGAACAGACTTGAGTATTTTAAGAATTGAACTTCAAATTCCCACGGGAAAAAGCTATAACCTAGTGGAAATATACATTTAGTATCAGATTTGAAAGGAACTCTAAGCGGTATTACTGAGGTCATCTCGTTGCGTCTTTGTGTCATTCAGTTATTGAGTTATACATACTTTATCAAGAGCTTCAAAAGGCTCTTGACAAATCCTATACCCTATCTTACAAGAAATTTCATATCATAGCTCTGCCTTACCCTAAAGACTGTTTCCCCTTTTCTCTATCCTACTCCAAAAGCATACCAAAAACTTCCGAAAAGATCTTTGAAAACTTAGATTTTTCAGCACACAGATGCCGAAACGCTAAATCTCGATAAAATGTCAAATTATTTACTCATTCGACTTTTTTCTTTCGAATTTGTTATATGAAGAATTTTCAGCTTTCGATCAAGCTCAAATAATTCATGAAAGTTTATCTTAGAACAATTGGTTGGCGCAGATTTATGTGCTATCTGGTCTTTTTTGCCTACATCTGCTATCAAAACAAATGCTTTTCTTCTATCGAATGTACTCAGTAGTTAATACAAAAACTGGAATTTTGTTGGTTGTGTAAAAATACTTTAATGAAAGATGTCCATCTATGTGCGATCTAAATTATAATTTTCTTAAAGATTCTAATCTTTCTCGCTTGAACTTTGACATTCACTTGATTAGACATTTTGGGTATGATACGCACCCTCTTCTGTGAGGCATTGCAGTATTTGTGTTGTGCCATCTATCACTGGAAAAAAAAAGTTAGTTTTGAGTTGCTGAAAAGTGCTTTTTCGTATTCAGCACACTCAATAACCTAGAAGATTTTCTGTTTTCACGGGTACTTCCAAAAGTTTAGGAAAAACTTTTAAACCGATGTTATTTTCCCATCGAAATTCTTTTGAGCTATTTTTTCAAAATCTTTCCTAAACTTTCGAAGTATCCCTCGCCAAAAAAAAGAAAATATTCTGGGCCATCAAGTGTGCTGGATACGAAAAGCAACTCAAAATCGACTTTATTATTTTTTATTTTGGGAATATGATGATGTCTGTTTCACCCTCAGCACCAAAGACCTTGCACCTAATCCTACACGACTTTTGCTCTTATTTCAGAACTTATATAAACTGAGCAGCAGAAAGATTTATAATTCACTTAACTTAAAGGAGTACGATATTTATAGGCGTTTTGTAGACTCTAACTGTCGGTCGAAATATCGTGAAACATTGTAAAACTATTTAGTAAGCCAAAGCAGTTCCGTTTTTTATCAACTGGAGTGCTTATTTTAGACTGTGGAAGAACTACTTTTACGACAATATTGGTCATCTGTTATGGGAAGAGTTTGGATCATTATGGTATGGAATGGAAAGAATGAAGGAATTTGACAGTAATCTCGTGGTTATGCATGGCTCTAAAATATCTCAACATCCTTTGTTTCAAAGAGTTAAGAATGATACCTTAAAGGCAATAACTTCAATGCCTATGGTAATAATGGTACTTTGTTTCGTCCCTTCTTGATAATATCTTCCACTTCTTTAGGTTGAACTGGATTCTTATATACCATCGTTTAATAAAACGTATATTTGTTTCAATCGACTGATTGTTGGTGGAGGAATTTCTGTGTTCAGGTCAAAATCTATCAAGGAAAATGACGGACGCGAACAAATGTTCTACAACTGGAGATCAAAAATAATCGAATATGCAGGTAATGCAGAAAAACTTATAATAATGTATACTATGATAACATCATTTCTCATGATAGTGTCAGTTGTGAGTTTCGTAATTTATTTATTTAGTTAAGTAAGGATCCCGCCAGATAAGACCGTAAATCTGCCACCCCCTCCCCCCTATGTTTCCATACCATTCAGATACATCCTTAGGGCCTTCCAAAAATTGAATGCTGTTTCATGAAACAATGCCTTACAGAGGTCAAAGACGTCTCATTTTGTTCAGAAATGTTTACTCTATATGATGGAGTTATTTGCAACGAATTTCTCGATTGAACTCAGAGGCTTGGTTTTCTAAGATTTGGGTTTTCCAGAGGCCCTCGTTTCAGAAGTTGCGATAGAACCTTTGTACACACCACATCAGATCGGAAATTGTTTCGGCCATTCAAATCTTTTTCAAATTTGATCTAGCTACTATGGTCGACGAGCAAAATGAAAAATAAAGGTGCACGAATAATTTCTGGACCCACTGTGTGGTCAAGCGGCGAAGTATTTAACAGACAAAACCCGCTGCCAAGGTGCGTTAAGTTTCCTATTAACAGACATTGTAGAGCTTTTCAAGACGCATCGAATGATATATGAATGATTAGAGATCCTCTATAGTTTCATGGAAAAAAGTAACAAAGAGTTCCAAAAAAAGTATCGATATACAAGTAAAATAATGACATGTTCAAAAGTAATCATCGAATATTCTATATTGGGGCTATTTTTATTTTTCTCAAACTTAGACCATTTTGTAGAGCAAATCACGAGAAAATTTTCTGTTATAGTCGTCATCTTGTCCAAGTTGTTGTTAGTGCGAAACTCAACTTGAAATTTATGAAAAATAATCACATAATAGTATGTTTTCTATATTTTCTTATATTGGTGAGTCGGGTAGCCCTTAATGACAACAATTTGAGAATAATATATTTATACCATTTTGTAGAGCACGAAAAACTGCGTCGATCTACACTATTAGTTTTCATATTAGGTTTACAAAAGAAAAAATGATGGGTATCATAGTTATTATCTAGAATACCGAAAGGTGATATACCCCCAAGACTATTTGATCTTCGAAAATTCTTTTTACATTCGACGAAAATCAAAATAAATACCCAGAAATGTACAGAATTTCATACCCTATCTTTCTAGCCTATTAAAAGTGAGACATAGGGGGGTGGCAGATTTACGGTCTTATCCAGCGGGGTCCTTTATTAAAAAAAATTATATCTTTTGAGAAACAAGCAGAAATGTGGGTTAGTGGCTCATGCTCGCCAAGCACCTCCTCCCCCTTCTCACAGATCCCTTCAGATATTCCAGACAAAAATATAGCTGACTAAAGTAGGAATTAACTTAGCATTTAATAAAAACTGCTTAGCAAAAAAACAGTGGCGGATCCAGTCCGCGAGCGACGGCTCATACCTTTTAACCAAAAAAACTGTTTTTTCCCAGCAGATCTCTATTGGAATACTTTGTTTCTATGACGAACGCACGTATCTCGCACTTTTGTCGCATACGGCACGTATCAAAAGATAATTCTGGATCCAGCACTGCAAAAAGATAGTAGTAATTTCAAATCAATTCTTTCAAGAAACGTTTCCTTTGAAAGAGCGCAAGAAACTCAACACAGCTACCCACTGAAAAAAAATTTACGAATTCCTGCGTTGACACGCAGTAATCTGAAAAAATCCTGTGAATGTTGGATATATACTGCAAGTTTTTACATCACGTTACCTCACCGAAAATTTTCCTACAAGTTGGTGAGTATAACTGAGCAGGATTCTTTAACACGCTCACTTTTCGAGTTTCTTTTCTGCAGGATCCTGGAGGATTCTTCTCCAGGCACACCATGCAGGAACTTTTACATGCGTTCATGCGATATATGTCGCAGATGCTTCACTTTGCATAGCCTGCGGAATTTTTTCCTTCCTGTTCTCACTTGTAATACACAAGATATCTCAATACGCAAACCCTGCAAAGTGTGTAGGATTTTTTCATGATGATAAAAAATTGTAGCTTGTGGATTTTGTCCGCCATGTCGATCTTGCGGCATTCTGCAATCTTTTCTCATCAATGTCTGTACAGGGTGAACTTGTCTGTATTTTTTATTTTTGGCAAGTTAAGTACTTCTGCATATTTTCTTGTAAAGTCATACAAGCTTTTCTCGT